AGAGTAAACTGGGCCATACTCATCATTTGTGGTTGTTTTTGTTGTATCAACACATTCTTGTCCTTATTAGACTGATCCGAGATGGAACGCCCATTATTTGAACCTCTATAATTGCTAAGTATCTCTTATCCACTTAGATTCCTATTCCGCACCATTAGTCATCTATTAAGTGACTCAAAACTTGATCCTATATGCGGATTAGCCGTGGTGCACCAAATATGTAACAACCCAAGTACTGAATGTACACCAAACTGCTCAGTCACCCTCCATGTACCCTCACTTAAGCATCTTTTTATCTGTATGTTCTATTTTAGTAGTACATGCATACGGAACTATATTGTGACATTTCATCTCAAGCGGGGGCGGCGACGACAGCCAACTTCACCACACAGCAGTCAACACGCGCTTGAATCCTCCCTTGAAAGTAAAGCTTTAAGATAAGATAAGATAAGTAAGATAGATAAGAATGCTTTATTTTTCCCCCCCTTAAGGACGAAATTCAGGTCCGACTTAGCAGCAGCAATAGGATCCACAAAGTAGAGAAAGTAAAGTAGAGAACAAAGGATACTCACAATAAGTTGAATAAATTAGATATCTAATATTATTCAATATATTAGAAGAATATATAAAAAAACTATAGAAATTACCAAGTAACAAAAATACCCCCCTAATTTGTTGTTCAAGTAGGATCATGGAGTCCAAAAATCCAGGTATATTGACAGTCCATAATAATGAGAAATTTAAAGATTGAAAAGACGCCTAGATAAGATAGTTGCTCTTTTTTAACACGTCCCACAACACATACGGCGGGCGGCGACACTTGCGCAATCTTACAGCGGCAAGCCAAAAGTGGATACCAAGGACAACGCAAGAGCAGTATAAATGAGGTACAACCATCCTTACTTTGAAATGAACGTATGGAACATAAATACCAATAATATAATAAAAAAAAAACAAAACAAAAAAAAAAAAAAAAAAAAAAAAAAAAAACAAATTTAAAATTGATTACATAGAATAAATAAACACTGTACAAGAGGAAAAAACAGTAAAAAAACCAAAACAGATAACACAATAACATAATACATAATGCATCATAAGGTGGAGCTAATGAGTATCTTTCTTTCTTTCTTTCTTTCTTTCTTCTGCCTCAAACCACCCTCACTTTTGCAAAAAAAAAAAAAAACCCCATAAAAACCCTTAACCCCGCCCGCCTCAACAATCCCGGTATTTAAAATCAGCTCCGGCCAAGCTGTGTCGTCAAACAAGTGGGCGGGTACGAAGCTCTCCGATCGACCAATAGGAAAGCGAGAACGGGGAGATTGACACCTCGGTGACGAAGAACCGGGCCAGCTGTCACGGCGCGCGAAAGCTCAAAAGTAGTATTCGGTGGAAGAGGCGGGAGGAAGAGCAACAACCCGGTTAAACGCGTCCTAAATGTGCGTTAAAACTCACTTTTCTCCGCGCTTACATTCACTTTTCAACTTCTGCGGTTTAACGAAGCGTTGTCTCGGCTGGTTTGATCGACAGAGATGAGCCTGGTCCTTTCTCAACTACAGGTAAACGTTACAAAAAAAATAAAAAATACTCTTTCAGGTGCCATGTTGGCTAGTTTGGACATCTAACGTGGAAATATCAGACGTGATATGTTGTCGCAGTTAGTTATAAGTTACGGGAAAAGACTGACAACAGCACATTTATTCCAGATCGAAGAAATCTGCTCGTTGAAGAAGCGATTTAGCGACTTAGCCACGTAGCTCGCTCGGTTTTTAGGTTGTCGTCTTTGGCCTGCTGCCGCCGATTAAATGCATGTTAGTGAGGCATTTTACCTCGTTGACCCTGTGTTAACTTGTGAAGCGGTGGATTACTCTCGGAAATCAACCACTTTCATGTGTTCTCGTGAATTGTACGTAAAGCAAAGTCAACTATAAGCAGCCGAGAGGAAGCAGTGTCGCCAGCTAACGTTACGTGCTCATTGTTTGCTTTATTGCAAGGCGCCACTCGTATAACAGCACACCCTTTGACCTTTCAGGCTACATTTCCTTTTTACATTTACATCTCCTGAGAGTTTTTGACAAATACACAAGCTGTACTAACTTTGGTATCCTAGAAAAAACCGTGCAAGTGAGTTGTATCAGTCTTTTTAACCATTAAATGAACACCTAGTGCCTTTTTTTTATTTATTTAATTCATGTTTAGTTAAAGTACACAGCACAATAAGTAACCCTGAACTAACATTTGGCAGTGTGGGCTTTAGATTAAGGTTATATCACATTTAATGTCCAACCTCATGTTGTTTTTCCCAGATATCATACTACAGAAAATGCACTTGCTGATGTGTGATTTCTGTTTTCTGTCATTGTACACAGGCAGAGGGGCTCCCAGCTGTGGCCCAAACTGCCACAGAGAGCGATTCAGACAGCGGGATGGGCTCTCCAGCCGAGGACATGGTCACGGAGACCGCTAACGATAAAGAAGAGCTTCCAGCTGAAGGTGAGGGAGACAAGAGAGAGCCACTTTGGCTGTGTAAATGAGTGCACTTGTTCCAATTACGTGATTTGGCATCCCGTGATCCACGATAGTTACCCAAATCTGCCGATGTGAGTCCAGTGTGGAGGGAGAAAAAGGACTACATAATGAAACAGAAAAAGGTGCTTGAAGGACTCGTCTGCTTGTACTCGCAGATTAAAGATGATGATGATCTTTTGCTCCAAGGGAGACTGAGGTTATATCAGTCCTTGAGTAATACTGGAGCAAACAAAAAGAACATAAAGGAATAATAAACAGTATAAACCACAACAACAGAGCCGATTTCAGATAAGATGATTAACAGCTTATCTAATATTCTGCTGCATCACAAAAAAGTCTTAAATGATTTGACGACTGTTTCTAAATTGTTCTTTTTGTTTTCAGATTCTGATGATGATGATGAAGACATCACAGTGCACAGAAAGCCTCATCGTAATGCCATTAGAGACAGTGACAGTGAGGAAGAGGAGGCAGCTGCGGAGAACAGCGTACACATGGCCGAAGCACTGGTCTTATCTGCTTCCAGCGGAGAGGAGATGGAGACCGGAGAGGCAGAAGAGAAGGATGGGAGGAAGAAGAGAGGCTCGCAGAAGAGCAAGAGAATAAGCCGCGCTCCCATTGACAGTGACGACAGTGAGCCTGAGCAAGAGAAATGTGGGGAAATGGAGGAGGAGGAGGAGGTGAGGAAGGAAGCAAAACCGCCAAAGGAAGGGAAGAAGAGAGAGAAGAGTCAGAGGCATCGAGAGAAAAAGGAGAAGCGAAGCAAAGCGGTGGAAAAACTGAAGAAGAAAGGGAGGTCCTCTGAAATGAATGAGGTTAGTGCAGCTTGGCCTTTTTTCATTTAGTGGTCATTTTGTTTTCTCCCTTTATAACTGTGAAGAGTGGTGCATCAAGGTTCCTAAAATGTGGACACATCCATGTCATAGGTTTGGAAATGGCACATAAACCTTGAAAATGTTGTTTCATATCAAGTAAATGTTGCTGTAGATGTATATCTTTTGTTTGTATCCATTAGGAATGATCTTTTATGTAAACAGGGATGTGATAATGTGCATGTAAAATTGCACTGGACACCCAAATCATCAAATTAAGTACTTAACGTCTACACAAAGTCCCAAATGTTAGATATAAAATGAAATGTCAAATGTTAAACTAAGCAGAATCAAGTGATTGTTATAGAATAAGAATCCTTGACGTGATTTATTATATCGTATAGTTAAAGACGGCTTTGTACCCATTTCCTCAGGACACCCCTCTCCCTCGTGGTCTGAATGACAGTGGATGTCCGCTGGGCGACCCAGACCTGTTTGACACCGGTCTGGACGATGAGGAAGAGGAGGAAGAAGAGTCCCTGGAAGCCATCCGTGCTGCTGTCAAGCAAAAGATGAAAAAACACGAGGTACAATAAAGATACCTATTTGCAATTGGAATCCTTAATTCAGTACCTCAACGTTATTTCCTGTGACTAGAGTTGCTAAGTATTTTTTAATCAGAATCAAAACACGCACTGTGTTTATTTGTGAAAGGCTCCTTGCTTGTTGTTATCACTGTCCTCAGCTGATTGATACTGATAATGAATCTGTTAAAGTTAATGACATTTTGTTGAAATATTGTGCTCAAAAGAGTGGCAGAATGTTGTCTAGACAGGCCTTTGGGTAATCAGCATTAAATATTGCTGCAGGATCCTCTCCTGAATGAGGAAGACGAGGAAGATGAAGAGGCACCAGATAAACCCCAGCGTGTGGTATGCAGTGCCAAAATTCTTGACTTTATTCTAAACGCTGTAAAGGTTGTAAACCAAATACCAAAAGTTGGTTTAATTCTCAACATGTGTAATGTTTTCAGGAGAGGAAGGCTGCGCGTGCCAGCAAAGAGGCAATGAAGCAACTCCACAGTGA